TCCCCCAAATATCTGTATTGTCCACTCCTTACTTCCTTCCAAGGTGTCTGTTCAAACGTGACTTGATCAGAGGCCTTTCCTGACCCCTGTATACAAGAGCACCCACTAATCACTCTGGATCCCCTCACCCTGCTTTATTTTTCTTGCTAGCAATGATCACCACCTACCATATATTTCCTGTCTGTCTCCCTTCCCTCTCTGCTGGCATCCAAATGTAAACTCCATGAGAAAAGGGACAATATCTTTTCTGCTCACTGCTTTATCTCCAGGGCCTGGAACTCTACCTGCCACAGCATATGTGCTCAAAATCACTGTTCTGGCTATAAGGATATACTGTACAATGCAGGGAATACAGCCAAAATTTTTATAATAACTATAAATGGAGTATAACCTTTAAAAATTGTGAATCACTATATTGTACACATATATAATATTGTACATCAACTAAATAAAGCTACACGTATGAAACTGGGGGGGAAAAAACTGTTCTGTGAATGAAGACCTCCAATTCCCCAGTCTCTCCATTCTGTCCTCTCCAACAGGCCTTTCCCATCTTCACTCTTACCATCACCACCATCACCACCACCACCCCACCCCCCATTGTCGATATCCTCAATTTGCCTTCCATCAAACCTGTTGGAAGACTCTTCTGGCTGCATGCATTTCACTGTCCACCTTTCCTGTCCGGTGCCTCACCATGACGTCCGCTAGGGAAAGCCCACCACCAAGCACAGATTCTGTTACCTCTGGGTCCTGAAGCCATCCTGGCTTTCCTTTTAGGAAACCTCTTCTTTAGCTGCCCCCCTCCCCCATAGTTGTTAAAAGAGCCTCCCATCACAATGCAGGGACCGCTCAAGAGCCAGGCACCAAACTGACATGCCTGTCTGCCTACCCCCATCTCTGCTGCCATCCACCGTGCACAAGGGAGAAGGGAGTCCTGCCCCGCGGCGCGCCGGGGACGGACACTCTCCTGCCCCTCTCAGCTCTGTTACAGTCCCTCCTTCTCTGCAGTACAAATCACCCCAAATCTCCATCTTGCTGCGGGCCCCTCTCCTCACCTTCAGGCTCTAGGAACCCACTCCATCTCCACTTTCCCCGGGACCTCTGTGGCGACACCGAAGGCACATTCTCAGCAGCGGCCTTACCGTGCTTCTCCGCAATGTTCCACCGGGGAGCCCTCCCCCCCCCATCCCCCGCAAACTCTCTCCCCGAGCCCTCTGCCGCATTCTCTTGGCTCTCCCGCTCCCACTTTCCCGGGCTGGTTCTCATCGGTCTTCGACCCCACCACAGGCAGGATGCGCGCTGGCATGCTCCCCCGCAGCTGGCGTCCACTCGGTTACCCCGACCCCTGGATCCAAGGGCGGGGACGGCCGGGCCCTGGGCTTAGCTGGCTCTCTCCCCAGGCCAAGTAACAAGCGCAGTGCACAACAGGCGACCATAAATGTGATCATACAAGTGCACAAATGCGTCCCGACTGGACCTGGTGCTTTCACTCCTCAACCGGGAGAAGTGCCATTCCGGGGCGGCCCGACCCGACCAGGAAACGCTCCAGCTTCCTGCAGAGCTGGCACTTGGGGCTGGCGCCGGGCCGACCCGCGGCCGCAGACGGGCCGGGGCCCAGGAGTGCCGTGGCGCCATCTCTCGCCGGCGGCTCCTATCGGGAAGGGGCATCACTCTCCCCAGGGCGGCCGCACTAAGGCCGAGACCCCGCCTCTACCGCCCCCAGGCCGGTGATCGGACGTCCCCCGCACATTGATGGGGACGCCATGCCAAGGCCACCAGTGCCGCAGGGGCCACTCACCCCGTGCAGGTGGAAGCCCTCGGCGCCTCCCGCGGGCTGCTCGACGCTGGCGCCCAGGCCCATGGCCACAGTCGGCTCAGGCGCCGGTGCCCGGGACCGCGGCGCCACCAGCGCGTACTCACCCTCTCGGCGCTCGACTACCCGCGCCTTGTCACGTGGGTGTCTGGCCACGCCCACCTTTAACTCTGACGCCCTTAGAGAGCGGCTGGCTGCTCCGTTTCCAAGGACGCGCGCGCCTCCAACAGCAGGCCGCGAGAGGCGCGACCGGGACTCTGACTCGGGAATACCGCTCCGCGAGGCACCACCAGACCCGGGCTCGGAGCCGCGGGTGCCCGGAGATGAGCATCAATGACTCCTCCCTTATGGTGCGTGGCCCGGGCACTGCCCAGCCGCTCCCTCCGGGACTCTCCGCCCCTGGTCTGGTGAACCCCGCGCCTTGCAGCTCTCCTGTTACCTCTCTGACCGCTCGTGCTGCCTCCGCTACCCGCCTTTCGCTGTCCCCGGCCTCTTCAGGCTGCATTCGTCCCTTCTCGCCTCTCTCTCCGTGGCAAGCGCATCCTCTCTAGTGTTCTCTGAGCCCACAGTCATCATCCCCACCCAGTCCTATCCCCGAGCTCCCCCAAACCAAAGCATAAAAACCCAGCTCCATCACATAGCCATTATCTCCCCTTCCCTGTCTGTGCCTCTTCTGGGTCCTTCACCTCAGTGGATCGCACCACCATTTGATCCCCCAGCCTTTACTCTTTTCCATACTCATCTCCAGATCCTGTCTGTCGGCAGGAAGTATCAGCTCCTAAATATCTCCTGAGATCACCCACATTTTATCTCCTAGTCCAGGAACACCACCATCTCCCCTCCAGGCACCTGCAACAGTCCCCCTCCCAACTGGTTTCTCTGCTTCAGCTTTCTTCACCAGCAGTCCCCCACCACCACCACCACCACCACCACCGCCGCCACCAACATCCACGACCACCCCAACGCACACACACACACACACACACACACACACACACACACACACGCCAGAGTGTTTGCAAAAACACACACCTGAGTACATTCCACACACACACACACCCCCATGCCCAATGCTTAAAACCATTCCAGCTGCTTCCTATTACCCTCAGGATGGTGTCTGGGCTCTTTGGTATGGCCCACAAGGCTGTTCACAATCCAACTACATCTATCCCCAACCCCGGCACCCACAAACCCTAGGGGAAGTGAGACTTCACTTTGAAATCTCAGCGCCTCTTACTATGTGACCTTTGTCAAGCCACAGCTTCCATGGGCTTCGGCTTCCTTAACTGTGAAGGATATGGAGAGCATAATGCGTAGATGATGGGCGTAAAGCCCTTGGTACACTTCCCCAGAGGTGGTTAGCCCACAATAACTTGTACCTCTGAGTACTGGTGTCATGATTCTTATTATCGGTTCGCTTTCTCCCCTCTTATTCCCTTCCTAAAGCAAAACCTGAGTTTAACTCCCCATCACATGTGAACCAGAATCTGTGCTTAATTCCAAAACAAACATCTCCAAACTCCTTCCCAAGAAAACTATGGAGCTGTTCCTGGGGCTGGGGAGGAATGGGATGAGGCCTGAATATTCTTTCTCTTCTCTTTACAGAATTGGAAGAGGAGCAGGGACTAGGGGAGGGAGCAGGTCAGAAGAGACAGAAAAGGGGCTGGGACTATTGCAACTGTGTCTTCCTCCTCGCAGGCTGGGATCATTTATTACAGCCAAGAAAAGTACTTCCGCCATGTGCAGCAGGCCGCGGCCGTGGGCCTGGAAAAATTCAGTAATGACCCAGTGCTGCAGTTCTTTAAAGCCTATGGAGTCCTCAGGGAAGGTAGGGACTCGTCAGTGTTGCCTTCTGACCTCAGGCACTAGCCCAGCACTAACGTGCCGGCTCCACCTGGATGCCTACTTCTACCCCAATCATGTTCCCATGGAAAAAGTCTTAAACTCAGTAGCTAGATTCCCAGGTTAATCCACAGAATGTAATCCATATCTAGTTGACTTTTGAGACCTCAGAGACCTCACTACCCCTGCTCTGCACCTCAGTCTCCCTATCTGTAAAATGAGTGGGGGGAAAGATGACTGCAAGATTATTGAACCAATCCCAGGCTTGGAAACTGAGAGCCAGTAGTGCAGAAAAAGGAGGAAGTGGTAGGTGTGGCCACAGGCAGGTGTGGGACAGGAGCAGGGAGAGAAGTGGGGCCCGTGGAGGTGCGACTCACTGACATTCAGAAGGTCATCCTGGGTGGGGGGCCAGCTGAGCTGCCCACGGCCAACGTCAGTGGACATGGAAGGATAAATATAGCTGAGCATCTAGCTGGGAATGCACAGAGGTCCTTCTTCAGAACCGACCTACAGGAATCCTTGTGCATATACTCCTGGACCATGGCGCCAGCATCCCATTCAGGAAGCTTCAGTCTTCAGGGAACTTGGGCCACTAGTGACCTTTTGGACCAGTTAGTCCAAGTCTTGGGTCAGGTGGTACCAAGCCTTGGGTCAGCCCTGTGTCTGCCATGGAGCCTCCTGCCCTCTGAGCATGGAGCCCCAGAGAATAACCACTTGGGCTCTCTTCACAGAGCGCATCCAGGATGCCATCAGCAGCCTAGAGAGCATCCAGAATCACCCAGATGTGTCCCTGTGCTCCGTCATGGCTCTCATTTATGCTCACAAGTGCTGTGAAACCATCGGTGAGTGCAGCCATGCTCAGCCAGGCCTGGCCCAGTGGGGAAAAGAGAGCCTCACTCCAGAGATATAGCCCCTCTCGGGCTGCAGGAGGTGTGTGCACCCGAGACTGCAGATGCTGTGAGGAGTGGTTCCCCTCCCCTCCCCATGGAGACCTCAAAGAAGACCCCATGCCCAGGCCCAATTGAGTGGGAGCCGCAGGCAGAAAGCATGACAGTGGGAGGGGTCCTCCTTCCACATCCCAAGAGCTGGGGAGACACCCTGGTTTCCTTTGCCAAGATCTTGTCGAGAAAAACCAAGCCAAAATAAAAAGTTCTACCCCTCATCTCTACCTCTCTAGAGTCAGGAAGAGATTCTGAGAAACTATGTACAAACTACAATTTCCCCACCCAGAATGGATTGTGGGCCTGAGGTGGGGGGTTCAGGTTTGATCTGTCTGCCCAGCAAACTGCTGGGCACAGAGGAGAAAAGATAAATCTCAGCCAGCAAACCCAATTCCAGGGCTGGGCAGCTCCTTTGGCATCACACGGGCCAGTGTTCCTGGTTCCCAGGCCCTGGGCTGTCGTGTAGTCGGCTCTGTGTGTTGAGGGAGGCCCAGAGTGTGGAGAGGCAGGGCCAGACAGACCTCCCCATCCTAACTTGTCCCCTTCCTCCTCTCTCTCGGATTCCCAGACCGAGACGCGATTCAGGAACTTGAGAGCAGCCTGAAGGAAATCCGCAAGACAGCCAGCGGGACTGCCCTGTACTATGCTGGCCTCTTCCTCTGGCTCATGGGCCGCCATGACAAGGCCAAGGAATACATTGACCGCACGTTGAAGGTCTCCAGCAGCTCCAGAGAGGTACAAGCCCTGGGCATCGTGGGGGCAACAGCCGAAGAAAGCAGCGTCCGAACACATCCTAAAGGGTGGCCCTTACTCCCATGGAGGGCCCTGGGGCTGGGGGAGGGCCACACCCAGACACCAACAAGACCCATGTTGGCTCAGGGGTTAGACCACTACACACTGGCCTTTGTCCATAGAGTCCGATTGCAGATAGGTTTTATGGCCTGCACTATATATTTTTAAAATCTTGAATCAGTTTGCTGACATTTAGAAATCAGAAGATTTTTACCTAAAAGTCCAGATGTCTTGGTTCTTTTGAAAAACTAGATGAGCTGACTACACTGGGCCTGTATTCTTTCCTTACAGTGATCTGCTAGGTGTCAGTGGTGGCTCACACAGAAGATCTCATATGCAGTGGATGTCATGTGCTGTAGAATTGTACTCATGGTAGAATTAGAAGCCTCAGTCTAAGCCATGCATCTCAGCAGGGCATATATCACCCCCAGCCCCCCAAGGGGGTGAAAATTGGTTCTTGGAGGAGGGGGTGAAAAAAACTTCACTGTTTGTATATAAAACACAGATATACACACAGTACATAAATGGTATATCTGTGATATTAAAATTTCTTGGAGAGGGAGGGAATGATTAGGGGAGAAATGACTAAAAAGTCTCCTTAGGAGGGCAATAATGGAAAAGAATTGAGAAACCTCTAGGTTGTGAGAGATGCTTCAGGGCAGGGTCTTCCAAGCACCCCTCTATCCTTGCCTCCTGGGCCTGGCCTGTGGCACCTGCCAGGCGAGGCGGGGTGAAGGCTGAAGGGGAGCCACCAAGGCCCATGAGCTCGGTATGGCCGCTTGCCCGCTCAGAGGGCATTCCCGGCTTCCCATGCAGGCCGGGCCCTGTGCTGGTCTAAGAAGTGGAGAGAGCTGGAGTGGCCCTACCCTGGCGCCCTGACCCCAGTGTAAAATAAACACACAATGACAGGACAGGTGGTAATGCCTCCATAAGGGGCAAGAGAACCATGGGGGTCATAGGGAGGGCCCCAACCCAGCCTGGAAGGTCAAGGAAAGCCTCCTACAGGAGGGGCCTCCTCGGCTGAGTTTTAAAGACTGGTGGTGGTTAATCAGATGAAAGGACTTGGTTTGGGGGGCGCGTACTGGGAAGGACATTCCAGACAAACGAACAAGAGGTATGAAGGCCTGCAGGGAGAGAGCAGGGCTCGCCTGGGATCTGGGAGCAGTGGTGCCCGGCAGGGCCTCAGGGAGTGGAATGACAAAGGGCGGGATGTGGGCAGGAGAAGCAGTCTGGATGGAGGCGATACAGGACCAAGCACTTCATCTTTCTCCTTGTTCTTATGCCAGGGCTACGTGCTCAGAGGCTGGGTGGACCTCAGCTCAGACAAACCCCACACTGTGAAGAAGTCCATCAAGTACCTCGAGCGTGGCATCCAGGACACCAAAGATGCTCTGGGGCTGATGGGAAAGGTAGGAGGGACAAGAGTGTCCCCACCCAGAGACCTCAGTCTCTAGACGCCCCCAGCTGGTGGATGAGGAACAAAGGTCCGGAGAGCATCAGGGACTCAGAACAGCCCCGGGCCTGCTCCAGTCCTCCCTGCTTCCTGCCCAGTCTCGAGTTTCCGTTGCCTGTGTGGGGTCTTCTTGGGGTCTAGGCTCCCTTGGCTCTGGCGGGCTTTGTCTCTTTGCCTTTTGTTTTCACCCACTGCCCCTTTTCTATGCATCTTTCTTTCACACTTTCTCATCTCACCTGTTAAATTCACCTAGTTGGTCATAAGAGAAGGGAGGTATGTGTTTTGTATTTTCTGACCTTAATTTAAATTGTTTCCTTTTTCTGATGTGGCCCTCGTTGAATCAATCTATGAGGGAAAAACCATCCTCTTATCCTCTTCTGTTTGTATATCCTTTCTTATAAAATGAATACTTGCTCATTAAAAAACCAAAAGTCTAAGAAGGTCAAAAGGTGATTTAAAGTGGCATCCTTAGCCCTACCACCCCCGAACAGCCCATGTTAACATCTCAGGGCCATGTCTCGGAGTCTTTCTTCTACGCATTGGTTCGGGGTGTGCCTTCGGTGGTTTTTCTGGGGAGCAGAGGCCATGAGGTTATCGCACAGGAGGTTTAGCAGGTTGTGCCCTTGGGACCAACACTTGTGGAGAAAGTGAAAGAAGCAGGAGGGAGAACTTGGGCTGTGAAGCAGCTCCAGTGAAGGCCTCAGCCAACTCTGCTTGGAATTACGGAGCTGGGATGGCCCTTCACTGACTCCCTCGCTGACAAGATGCTGACTGTGTGACCTGCCCCTCGCGGAGGTGTGTGACCTACCCCTCGCAGAGGTGTGTGACCTGGTACCAGGCAGCTACCTGCAGCCACGGGTGATCCCAGGAGGGAGACTCCCCCGAGAGCTGTCAGCGGCCAACTCCCCTTTTCCTGAAGGAGGTCACACACAGCACCCACCATGGGGTGGGAGATAGTGTGGGTAGTTCATATAGTTGTTATCATAGGTCATCTTACCGTTTGGTCTCTTTCTCTTCATGTAAGGTTATATCATAAGCACGTGTCATTTTGAATGTCTGCATAAAGCCAGGCCCCTGTTGTGTGGGCCTAATGTAATTTGCCGACCCCGCCTCCTATTGTTTGGATATTGAGATTGTTTCTAGTTATACACTTAGAAAGAGTTCTACAGTGAGCACGTTTATGCATATATCTTTATTTAGAATAATCCTCCTCTTGTTCTTAATAAGTCCCTTAATGGAGGGTTACTGTAAACTGAAGCCGTCCAATTTCAAGCCTTTTGGGAGCATTGCCCTCTGCCCCTCAGGCATCTGTGTCCTGACTCACCCAGGAGAGCCTGGTGGCTGGCTGCCTGCAGAGGCCATGACCCCAGCCGGGTGTGCCTTGCGGAAAAAGCACCGCAGGCTTGCCGTGGGGAGGGGAGGGTTACCTGCAATCCCTAACCGACTCCGGGTTGCTGCACTGGCCCAGTGAGCAGTTTTCGGTGGTGAATTTTAGGAAAGTGAATGGGAAATGATGGGCCATATGTGGAATTGGAAGGGGCCCAGCCACCCCAGCTTCTCCGCTACCGGGGGGGGGGGGGGGGGGGCCCCCCCCCCAGCCTATCTTCGCTAATGCTTTTTCTTCAAGGTCATAGGGCGCCCTCCCGGGGGGGGGCGCCCTCCCATGACCTTGCTCTATCCAGGCCTGCTCAGGGCTCAGCCGTCTCCTGCAGCCCCTGCCTTGCCTGTCAAGGAACCCAAGACCGCTGTGGACCCTGATCTGTCACTCTGAGTGATGGATCCTGCCCACATGTCAGGCTCTGCTCCTGTCCTGGTGGGGACCCTGACACCCCTCCATCCTTCGTGGGCACCAGTGGGGCTCTTTTCTTTGGCTTTCGACAGGCAACGTACTTCATGATGCTGCAGAACTACTCGGGGGCCCTGGAGGTGGTGAACCAGATCACCGTCGCCTGGGGCAGTTTCCTGCCGGCCTTGGTCCTAAAGATGCGGCTGTTCTTGGCTCGGCAGGACTGGGAGCAGACGGTAGAAATGGGACACAGGTGAGGGGTGGGGCCAACCTGCTATTTCCTTCCTTTGCTAGCCAAGGGGGCTAATCGTTCCCATATTACACAGAGGCGAGATGGGAGCTGCTGTGTACTTGATGGAGTAAGACACAAAAGTCAGTATTGTCAACAGGAGTTATGAATAGTGACATTATGACATTGGGGGTGGGGGAGGAGAGGGAGGATGGACGTGAACTAGACACTTACCTGTCATAGCAGGAAGCCAACAGCAGAGACCTGCAGTGGAAGAATCAAGAAATAGGCCTATCAAGAGGTCTAAGCATAGTGTTTAGGAGAGAGATGGAGGGAGCTACCAAAGGAGCCCAAAGCAACAAGAGTTACAGGGTAAAGAGCAGTTGTCTCTGAGGAGTTGTGGGGAGGGGAGAGTAAAGGGAGAAAGGGACTATTGTATTATTTACTTTTAAAAACTGTGGGTGTGATATGCGTTAATAAAAACTTCAGGGGACAAAGGTCATTGTTGCCTGAGAGAAGACTTTAGTAGCAAGCTGAGTGCATCCGGAAGACAGCCTAGGGTTCAGGAGTTATGCGGGTTTGTGGAAGCCAGACACCAAGTATAGGGTGATCCTGAAGCACTCTCACTGTGAATAGAGATAAAGATGGCTTCAGGGGAGGGATGTTTGATGGAGGGTTTTGTAGAATGGAATTTTCTAGAAAGCTGAAGCTTATCTCTTTAACCTCTAACCCTTTAACTATTTTTATCACAGTAATCCTAAAACGTACAGTACCAATTTTCTTCCTAAAAAGAGTTAGTGGACTATGTTTTTTTCTGAGTGACCATGAGTCACCACTACAAGTTTTTACTAAATTGTGTGAGGGAAAAAAAACCCAAAATACAAACATACCTCTTCCTTCCCTGTGGAGGGATGATAACTCCTCTGATGATAGCTGGAATTTGAGTCTCAGAAAGAGGCACTGGTAGGAAGCTGAAAGTGATTCCAGCCTGTGCCAGGCCTGGGCAGGTCCTCGGCAGCCCTCTCTCACAGTTGACACCTGGCCGGTGTCCTTGGCAGGAGCTGGGTCAAGAGCTTGCTTTGGACGCTCTGCCTTGGGCCCACAGGATACCTGGAAACACCTGCCTGAAGGCCTCAACCTTGAGTGTGTGCGGCCTCCCTGCCCAGGCGCCGCTGCATCCACCTGCAGGGAGATGGTGTTTGGTGTCAGTGGCTTGAGTCCAACACCCGACACCTTCCCTCACGGAGGGTTTCCCAGCTCATAGAGTTCCCCCATTGCTCTTTAACTTTTTTTTTTTTCTGGCCACACCACACGGCATGCAGGATCTTAGTTCCCTAACCAGGGATCAAAACCATGCGCCCTGCAACGGAAGCGGGACGTCTTAACCACTGGACTGCCAGGGAAGCCCCTCCCGCATTGCTCTTTTTTTTTTTTTTTTTTTTAACATCTTTATTGGAGTATAATTGCCTTACAATGGTGTGTTAGTTTCTGCTTTATAACAAAGTGAATCAGTTATACATATCCCCATTGCTCTTTAAATCTCTGCTCTCTGTAGGTGTCTTTCTCTTTTCAACCCTAAAAATTGTTTATTTTTTCCTTCTCTCTTATTTTTCGCCACTAATACTAAAATAATTTGTCTCTTTCATTTAAAGAACCAGCTTTGAGTTTTGTTGATGCTGTTATCTTTGTTTCCTAATTTATTAATTTCTGCTCTTTATTATTTTCTGCCAACTACCTCCTGTGGAGTTACTCTGTTGTTATTGTCTGACTCTTGAGTTGGATGCCTGGCCATTCTCAATCTTCTTTTAGAAGATAAGCATTTAAGTCTATGAATGTCCCTAGAGGTACCATTTAACAGTATCTACACATTTGGATACTTCAGTAGTATCTTCAGTATCTTTTGGTTCTAAGAATTTTCTAACATTCGTTCTGATTCTTTTTTAGTCCATACATCTTTTAAAAGTTTTTTTTAATTTCCAAATTATGAGGTTCCCAATGCCTTCAAATTCATCATAAATGCTTAGAAGTCTTTGAATGTTGACTGTGCCTAATCGTGTTGGAATTTTATATGTCATTTGGAGTAACCGTCAATTAAGCAGAAGGGCCGTTCCCTGATCAGGCTGAAAAATATGAAATTTCCTGTAAAGAAATAGAATATTGGAACTTCCCTGGCGGTCCAGTGTTTACGACTCCATGCTCCCAATGCAGGGGGCATGCGTTCGATCCCTGACTGGGGAACTAAGATCCTGCATGCCACTCGGTGTGGCCAAAAAAGAAAAGAAAAGAAACAGAATATAGAAAACTCCACAATATGATCAGGAGCTGCATCTTCCCAAGGACATATGTTGGAAACCAAGGTTCCTTTCCATCTTACAGCTGCAGACTGCCCCCCAAGCACCTCTCTGACCCCCCTGGACCTTGGCACCACGGTCATACCTGTGCTATTTGGGACATAATGGGCTTCTGTCACAAAGACACCCCCAAATATGTGACTTAAATAACATAAGATGTTATTCCTCTCTTGGGGAAAAGTTTGGGTGGTAGGCCAGGGCTAGGATGACAGCTTAACTCTGTAGGGTCCCAGGCCCCTTCTCTCTCATTGCTGTCCTGTTCCTAAGATGTTGCTCACATGGTCCACATTCCAGCCAGCAGGAAGGAGGAAAGAGAAGAAATGGAAGGCATGCTGTAGGGGCACCACTGGATATATCCTGGGCACTTCCGCTTGCATCCTATTGGGCAGAAATTAATCACATGGTCACTCCTGAGCTGCAAAGGGGGGCTGGGAAATGTAGTCTTTTCCGGTAGCCCTGTGCCCCAACAGTTTGGGGGTTCTGTTATTAAAAGGAGAAGGGGAGAATGGATGTTAGGAGACAATCAGAAGTTGCCGCCACACCTTCCTAGCCTTGCCTCTGAACATTCTCAGTTCACGTGGCTCCTCTTCCTATTTCAGAATCCTAGAAAAAGATGAAAGCAATATTGATGCCTGCCAAATTCTAGCTGTGCATGAGCTTGCAAGAGAAGGAAACATAACCACAGTAAGTTCTTTCAAGACTCAGAAGTTACGCCTTGAAACCAACACAGCCAAGGAGGGACCCCTCACAGCACCTCCACCCCCAAGGCATTGGAGGGGGCTCCCTGGGTCTCAGCTCCCTGCCCCCTCCTCCATACTCCCTGCCAGAGAGGTCTGCTCTGGTTTGGTCTTTGAGCCACACAGTTCCAAAGGCCAGCAGTGAGGTTAACTCTGGTTCTGCCACATGTTCCCTGTGTGACCCTGGGCAGGTGTCTCCACCTGAATGAGCCCCAGGATGCTCATCTGTAAAATGGAGATAATTCCACCCACTCCGTGAGCTTGTTATAAGGACTAAGATGACAGGTGGGACAACTGGGAGCAGTGCCCGGTGTACTACAATAATTTGCTCCATGTTACCTGATAGAAGTCATGGTTGTGGTGGGGGTTTTTTTGTTTTTTGTTTGTTTGGGGTTTTCTTGTTTGTTTTTTGCCACACCACACGACTTGCAGGATCTTAGTTCCATGACCAAAAATTGAACCCAGGCCCACGGCAGTGAAAGTGCTGAGTACTAACCACTGAACCACCAGGGAATTCCCCACAGTTGTGTTTCATATTTCAGGAAATGCCTTTTTTTAGGGAATGGTTGGAATTGCTCAGGTATTGACAGTACCAGGTAGTACCTGGCCCCAGACTTGCTCCTAAGCCTTGTAGTTTTCCAAAGAAACCCCAAAGAGCCCTCACATCCAATCAGAAGCACCTAGGATTCTTAATGAAAACATCCACGCCCAGACAGCTTCTTATTTTCAGAAAGAGTCTGTGTATTCAGCTAAAACCCTGCCTTCTGAATAAAGACATTGCCTCTGTGGGCACTGTGACAAATCAAGAGGCTCTAAGGGGTCATGGTGGGAAGAGGAAGTTTCTGGTTCCATCTGGCCAGCTCTGAAATTACGGATTTTGTGGGGTGAGGTGAGGTGGAGGGCACCGTTTGTATTTGGGAGGAACCCTCGAAAAGGGCTCTACCACTGTCTCTGGGTCAGAACAAGAGAACAGGCATGTCCTCCGTTCCCTGGGACCCCAGAGCCCTGGGCAGGCCTTCCTAAGGCCTGGCCTGAAGGTTAGGCCCAAGGGCAATTAGCATTTAATTCTCCTTTGCTCCCACCTCAAACTCTGGGATCTGCCCCTCACCCCAGCTCAGGCTGCCCAGTTCTTGTCTTGCAGAAAAGATCCACCCTACCCCGGGCTTCTCTTCTGGCACTTCTTTGCAGCTGGGGACTAAAAACTCCCTACTCCCACATAGAGAGTGGGCAGAAGAGTCCATTGGAAAGAACACAGACTTTGGAGTCAGTCAGCCACCTTGTTGGCTGGGTAAACCTTGAGCAAATGACCTAACCTTTCTGACCCTTCATCTGCTGGACTGAAAAATTCGGGTATCTATAGTTACACTAACTTACAGGGTCGTTGGGAGCATTCACTGGAATGACAGAGAGGCACCAATGTGGTGACTCATGTCAAAATGGAGCAGGGGTTTGGGGCCAGGGACCTGTCCTGACCATTTGCTCCTGGGCCAGCCCAGGTGGTTTGCTGCCAGCCTGGTGGGCTGTGGTGTGGGCACCATGACAGGTGGCTCCTGGCCCTGCCTGGGGGTGTCCCAAAAGGCAGCTGCTCTTCACAGATTCATGAACAAAGCGGCAGTGCCAGCTCTGGGATGAATAATGTTCCTGAAAGCTCTGCCAATGAGGCTCCGAAGTAATACTGAAGCCTGGGCCCGCCCAAGGCCAATTAACTCTGAATCTCTGGGACTGGCTTGGGGGCCTGGGTGTTTTTAAGATCTCCCAGCTGGTGTTCATGGGCAGCCACAGTTGAGAACCTCTGCCCCACTCCCCTTTTATATACTGCCTTTGACGTTGTATTTTGTTCTTGTAGGCTGCCGAGCGTGTTAGAAATCTGATTAAGGCGCTGGAAATAAGAGAGCCCCAAAATCCAAGCCTCCATCTTAAAAAAATTCTTGTGGTTGGCAGACTGGTAAGAAGGTGCTCCCTGGTTTCTGAACGGGTGCTTCTTGTTATGTTCCCCGGGGGAGACCTGTGCTCCCTGGAAGCTCCCTGAGGACCCTGCCCCTCCCCTCTCTGGCTTAAACTTGGCCTCTCAGGCTGGTGGCCCTGACCCCGGGGCCACTGCCTGCCTCCAGCCAATCACTGAATTGTGGGCTCTGTAGCCTGCACCTACGTGTCCTTCAAAGATGCTATGAGGATTATGGAGGTGAGGTCTAGAAGTGCTCTCAGAGAGGGAGGCGCCCTGTTTGGGGAAAGAGGGCAGTGGCACAGCTGTGGTACAGCAGAGCAACGCCCAGCTCTAGCCTCAGGGTGCTGGAGCACTGGACTCCCATATTCTTTCTGTGGAAGAGACCTGGTGAGGCTGGCCTACCTAGGCCTCTCTGATGCCAGGCAAGGTGCAAACAGACCAGGCTGCCAAACCATCTGTCTCTGTCAGACCCTTGAGCCCCAGAGCCAGATTTACTAGAAGGAATTGCCATAAGAACAGGGGCAGCTCTGGGGAGTCGAATGCCACTGGGATACCCTCTTGTCCTCCACAACTGTGTCTGATTCTCTCTGCCTCATGCTCCACACGTGGCAGGGAAAGTGGCTGCTCGTAGCCTTCAGAGCCACTTTCCATCAGTGGGACACAAAGAGTTTCTCTCATGCAACTTCAATTTGTGAAAAACCTCCTGGTGACTCGTTGGGCCAATGACTGTGGCCAGACAGGGGCTGGGTCCCTCAGAGGGCCTGCGGCTGGAGGCAGGTTCCACAGATGTGGCCAGCGGGGGGTTCTTTGGGAGGTGGACAGCTACCCGGACCCAGCTGCCTGGACACAGGGTACCTCTTGGGCTCTCCTGAACACCCCCTAGTCCCACCAAAGTGACACGGCCGTGCTCAGACAGGCTGGCCTGACTGATTTCCCCATTCCCGTGTCTGTGCCTTGCAGTCTGGGAGGCACCAGGCGATTCTGCAGCTGGTGTGTAGCTTCCTCGAGCGAACCTTCATGGCCACATCCTCCTACGCCCACGTGGCCACAGAGCTGGGCTACCTCTTTATCCTGCAGGACCAAGTGAAGGAGGCATCTCTGTGGTACTCGGAGGCCATGAAACTGGACGAGAGCAGCATGGCTGCCTTGACTGGTCTGTGCAGGCGGGGCAGGGCGAGGGGTGGTGGGGCGGGGGCTGGGAGCCAAGCAGGGTGGCTGCTGTGGGTCCAGAAGAGAGTGGGCTGGGAAGCATTCCCCCCAGGGTGTGTGTGAGTTTGGGGCTGCGTTGTATGATGGGGTGCCTGTCCACGAATCTACAAGTATAGATGTAAGAGGAACAGGAATTCTCAAAAGTGGTCAAAGCCGTTCTGATCTACAGCCGACCTCCAATAGCCATACGCAGCCCATTACGCTCAGTAAGCCCTGCCTCCTCTCAGGCCTCCCCAGGCCAGTGTGGGAGAAGGTTCTACTGCCAGAGTACCCCTCCCCAAAGCCTCTAGCCTCACCTCTGTAGACCCTCCGTCTTCAGGCCACTGAGCTGAAAGGCCACCAGAGTGAGCAGTTTTGAGAGTTTTACTTTCCGGTCTGTCCCAGTGCTTCCCTCCGGCTTTATCTAAATGTCAAAATGAATTTTTCAGAGCCCGATTTTCATTTTTACACAAAGCCCTCAAATCTGTGGTCTCTGGTGAATCCTGAAGCAGCAGTGTTTGATTTTAGTGGGGGCAGCCTCATGACCAGTGCTCCAGGCAGACTGGCTTCTTGTCCTGGCTCTGAGGAGTTGTGGGCAAGTCACTTCTGTCTACACTCCAGGCTCCTCATCTGTGCGGCACAATCAAAAAAGCAATCCAAGTGACTGGTCTTGATTTCTGGTTCAATACGTCAGGCTGACTCATCCGTCATCGCCTCTTCCTCCCTCCCCAAATCCCACAAAAGTCATGGGCGACCTTTTAAAAAGATGATGAGTCTCTGTAGCAGCCCCAGAAACAGGGAAAGGTGCCTTAGGTGGACCAGGAACTTTGAAGGACTTCTCATTTTTAGAAGATATGAAGCATATTGCATCCAACAAATGGAAACTCCAAGCAGGTCTAGAAACCCATAAGCCAACATGGGTTGGGGCAGCTAAAGAAATGAGTAAATCAGCTTTCCCCAAAGGGCTCCAGGAAAAAGAAAATTTTAAAAACATAAGCTCAGGGTCCCTAGAGGCTGGGAGCAAAACATGCCATAGGGTGATCATTGAGATAATAGGAGGGTTATTGAGGGTCAGAGAGTGGGATCAGGGAGGGTCTTACCAGGTGGTGGGGTAGGAGGGAGCGAAACAGAGCCCCCCGGCCCATGACGTCCCAGCACCATCAGGGACATGAAGGACCAAAAGACTTGGATGCCCGGCACATAGGCAAATCCCCCGAAATGTTCCTCCACCAGGCTGAGTCCTTCCCCACTTCCTCATTCAAGGGAGATCCCCAGCCGATCAGCCAAAAGGGAAGTCCGCACACTCCAGCCCAGGCCGAGCCCACTCTTGTGTGTCCTAGACTCATCCATCTTATCCGGCCCATCTGGGAAAATCAGTGACCTTAACAATTTGGGAAATCTGCCCCAGATGCTAATACTCATCACTCTTGTCCATTTATAAATCTACTAGCAGTTTGAAAAAGGGACCAAGTGGAACATGCAAAGCAGTGCCCCTCTGAGGAGCAAAGTTAAGGCCAGATGCAGAAAAGACTTTTTCCCCCAAATACCTCCCATGTTGGCTGGCTCTAGAGGGTATTATGTCAGTAAGTAAAGAACATGCTACTAGGAAAAAATACAGAGAACAAAAAAGAGTTGCTGAAAATTTAAAATATGATTATTGCAAAGTAAAAAATTCCATAGATGAGCCAAATAGTGGGATGGATATAATTGAAAACCAAGTTGGTGATTAGGAAGACAGAAATAACTGCACTGAAATGGCCAAGGACTATCGTGTAAAAGAAGAATAGTAGGAAGAGAAGGGATTTGTCCTCCCAATATCAAAACATGTCTCAAAACAAAAGTAGTTAAGTCTGGACTTCCTTGGTGGTGCAGTGGTTAAGAATCCGCCTGCCAATGCAGGGAACACAGGTTTGAGCCCTGGTCCAGGAAGATCCCTCATGCCGCAGAGCAACAAAGCCCGAGCGCCACAACTACTGAGCCTGCGCTGTAGAGCCTGCGAGCCATAACTACTAAGCCCACGCGCCACAGCTACTGAAACCCGCGCACTCTAGGGCCCAAGTGCCGCAACTGCTGAGCCCGCATGCTGTAACTACTGAAGCCTGTGCACCTAGAGCCCGTGCTGCACAACAAGAAAAGCCACCACAATGGGAAGCCCGTGCACTGCAACAAAGAGTAGCCCCTGCTCACCGCAATTAGAGAAAGCCCACGCACAGCAACGAAGACCCAACGTAGCAATAAATAAATATTAAATGCTTTAAAAAAAAAAAAAGTAGTTAAGTCAGTTTGAGGCCAGCACTGGAATAAACAAATAGATAAATGGGATAGAAACAGGTCTTATGATATAAATGACATTTCAAACCCATAGAGTTTCAATAGCTTATGACTGGACACCTGACTCTCCATTATGAAAAAAATAAAGGTAAATGCCCATCTCACACTATCCTCAAAAATAAATTCCGGATGAGTTAGGTATTTAAACATAAAAATTAAATTGGACTTGGGTTTCCTGGGGGATGCTAAGCCTAACCACAAACTCAGAAGCTATAAAGGAAAATATTTGACCAATTTGACTATGTAAAAATTTAAAACTAATAGATGGCAAAAGGCACAATAAAATAGTTAAAAGGTAAAAGGCAAACTAATGGAAAATGTAACAAAGACTATATATAAAGAGAATATAAATATATAAAGAGAATATATATATATATATATATATATATATATATATATATATATACAGAGAAATCCATCCAAAGAAAAACAGGCAAAAGCTATCAGGAGGAAATTCACAGTAGAAAAGACCATTAAATATAAAAAAATATGTTCATTCTCCCTAAAAAATTTTTTTAAATGTGAATTAAAATGAGTTACTGTTCACTCTTTAACTTGGTAAAGAGTGAAGCATGTTTGTGAGGTTGTGAGGAAAAAAAGAACACTTTCAAATTCTTGGCAGGAATATTAATCCAGATATCCTTGGAGGACAAGTTGGCCTTATCTATCAACGTTTTAGATATGCGTGCCCTTTGACCTATCGGCTCTACTTCAGGAATTAGAACACAGACAAATGTAGACCATGGCACTGTAATATTTAAACACTGAAAACAAACTATATGAGAAATGAGGAGTCCTTCAGTAGGGCAGTAGTTAAATAAACGGTTACATCCACAGTGGAATATTATGTCATGATTTAAGGAAATGGGATAGATTTGTGTGAACTGATGGGAAAACATGGTATACGCTAATAACATATAAATGCTTCAAAAGATGTTTGGAGGTGTATACCCCGAACTGTTCATGTTGGTTCTTTCTAGAGAGAGACACAGCCAGAACATGAGCTAGGGATGTTTTCCTGAAAACATCCTTATCATTCCTTATGATTTGAATTCTTTACCATGAGTATGTGCCACTCTAAGTTTGTGAAGATGTCGGAAGGGGCCCCTGCCATCCACTCTCCCGTCCCTGCCTCTGGCCTGCTGGGCTGCTGGCTCTGCTGCAGAGCTGGCTGCTCATCCTAGTTTTGCCCCATCCCAGGGGTCATCTGGTGCCAGATCATAGACGGCCACCTAGAAGAGGCTGAGCATCAGCTGGAATTCCTGAAGGAGGTGCAGCAGTCCCTTGGGAAGTCCGAGGTCAGAGCTCTCTGGGCGCTGGGGTTGCTCCAGGATCGTGCCCCCCGCCCCACCTTCCTCCCACCCCCAGTTTCCAGTAAAGCACCCAAGACAGCCCGGGCTTCTGGCAACTCTGCACAGAGGGTGTTGCTTCCAAGACCTGGGCCTGCCTCCCACAGGTGCTGGTTTTCCTCCAAGCCCTCCTGGCTTCCAAGAAGCACAAGGGAGAGCAGGAGGCCGCAGCACTGCTGAAGGAAGCGGCTGAGCTGCACTTCTCCAGCATGCAGGCCCTCCCCCTGAGCACCGAGTACTTTGAAAGGCTTGACCCCCTCTTCCTGGTCTGCATCGCCAAGGAGTACTTGGTCTTCTGCCCCAAGCAGGTTAGAGGAGAGTGCATCTTCATGGCGGTGGGGTGGGAGTGGGGTTGGTCCTCAGGACAGGTCTGGACTGAGGCAGGACCTACCTGGCAAGTCACCAGGGTGCTTGAGCCTCTGGCAGTTGGGGAGCCCAGCGCTTTTCACACTTGCACGTGCAGCACACCAGTCAGCCAGGGAGTGGGGCACAAGCCCTGCATCTCCCAGGTGATGCCAATGCTGCTGGTCCAGGTACCGCACTTGGAGGAGCAGGGCACTGGCCCCTGTGTCTGCATTTATCCTAGAGAAGAACTGGGCTCCCTTTTTGCCAGATGTCTTCTAAGAAGTATGTTGGTCTTTTCTTGTTTGTCTGGCTTTCCCAGACAGTCAAGATTCCTTGTGGGCAAGGATCATATCTCATACACCTTAATATCCCCCCAGTGCCTTGTAGTGTCATTCCACAAATATTTATTGAAGGCATTACCATGTGCTAGATGCCGTGCTAGGTAGGGGGGATGCAACAGTGAACAAAAGAAAGTCCCCATTCTCAGGAGCTGATGCTCTTGCACTAGGTGGTACAGAGTGGATGGTATATACATGTGGGAAAAAGTAAAACACTGCGAGAGTGTTTTCTGAGCACTCCAGGAGTCTCCGTTGGAATAGGGCAAACCGCACAGCCAGACCCCCGTGTTCCTACAGCCCCGGTCGCCAGGCCAGATTGTGTCTCCACTTCTTAAACAAGTCTCTGTGATCTTGAATCCTGTAGTCAAGGCAGCACCAGCCCTGATCGACCCGCTGTATTTGATGGCCCAGGTCAAGTATCTCTCAGGTGAGCCTGTGGGTCCTCATGGCCGGCGGGGCCCCTGGGTGAGTGTCCACAGGCTCCCTGCCTGGGGTAGTCCACACACACATACCCTCAGGAGGCGGGCCCACTCCTTCCAGCCTCTAACCCCCAGACACCTTCCTGACTCCTCACCAGCAGGGGTCTCTCCAACCCACCCTTTTGCTGATAGGGTCCCCAACCCTTCAGCAGTCCCCAACCCTTTTGGCACCAGGGACCAGTTTCATGGAGGACAATTTTTCTTCCACGAAGAAGCGCGG